GACTTAGAGTGTAACAACTATAAAAATATATTAATTTAACGTTTATACAATGATAATAATTTAGTGCAGTATAGTACCTTATTTAAAAACTGATTGTGGCTATATATTATATAGTTCTAATAATCTATACTCCACTGAATTGTAGGTAAGCAATAAACATTCTAATATATCATAGATAATATTATCATAATAATATTTAAGTATTATTCACATTATTGTTTCTATAGAACAGAGTGCTTATAAAAAATAAAATTTTTTTTTTTATATATATAAATTAGATATTTAATTAACTGATTTTTAGAAACTTTAAAGCAAGGGTCTTATTTCTGAAATTTATTGTCTTCACGTGACCAGCAAAATCATAATTAAAAAATCAAATTTACTAAGGTCTGGATTTTCAAAGCCTCTTTCAATGTATAGTTATCTCGAATTCGGTATAGTATATATTTCCCTTTAATGCCTTTCCACATCCATAGTTKAACCGACGCAGAAAACGTCAACATCATAATTAAGTATAATAACGTTATTACCACATAATATTATACAATGGTATCGGTAAATCGTAATTAACAACCAGTCATCGTTTATGTATTTTCATCCATTATCTCACGTAGTTCTACTTCAAAATATATAATTATGTCAGGTATATTCAGACTAATGACAGAACCGTAGTGACTGATTTACAACCAATACCGATAGAATCGCACATAATAATAATAATATATTTACGCACAATAGAAATGTTGCGAATGTAAAATGTGCTATTATTCAGACAAAAAAAGAACCTTAATTGCACCTACCTAATGAATCCTTTTCAGCTTTTCAACTATCCATAAATTACCTGAAAAAATTTACATCACATATACACACATTTATATGGTTCAACAGTGGTTCGATTATACCTATAGTCATTTTAATAAATACTGTGCATAGACCGGAAAACCATTCAATACGTGCCATTCTGTCAACAGCGGGCATTATATTGTTAATCAGTCGAGTATTAATTTACTAAAATTATGACACTTTGCCGGTAGTTTGGAATACTAAATCGTTRTATCTCGTCAGTAAAATATTAATCAAAACAGACACTAATGCACTTAACATATAACTAGATATAAATTCGTGGACTTCACACACGCATGAATGTGTATTGGTAGTAGACGAAATGTATTTTAATATTATAAGCTACACATGGTTTATAAGGTCAGGTTCTGAAGATATCTGTCAGAAAAAGTGCTGTGATGTCTAAATTAAAAATAAAAATAAAAATTTACTGGCCGAATATACGAAAGTGTTTGTATGGTACACAAACTAAATATATGTGAACCACTATTGTTTATTTATTGCGATTAATAATCTGTTTAATTGCAAACAATTTAATTATGTGTGAGATGAACTAAAAATGTACTAAATTTAGTTGATTTAAAAGAATATTTTTTTTTGTTTTGTCTTGTTGATAATATTTGTGAATAAAAAGTAAGGGGGTTAAGTACTAATAAAATTTGTTGTGAGAATTTATTTTTATGTATAATTCATTATTTTCTTGAATAATAAAAAAAATAAAAATATAGGAAACATACATTTTATAAAATATGTGGAACATTAGATAAACATCCATCTATTATTGATATTTTTTTTTCTAAAGCTGAAAGAACGCAAAATATCACAGAAACATCTGTAGATTTATCATAATGTTATTATGTGTGGTAGTTGCATTATACAATATACTTATCAAGTAATATTATACATGAGTATAATTTATTAAGTCAATTCACAGGTGCMTAATAATATATGAAATTACTTTATCTGAAATCAGTAAAAATTAACAGAACAATTTTTTAATTGGTATTGCAGTTCAAAACGAGTAAATGTTTCGTTTGTAATTGAAATTTTAAGAAAATCATTGCAACAGATAATGGTAGTAGCTCCATTCGGTTTTAATGTGGTAGACATATAGGTTCTGCCCTATTATGTTGTTGTTCTGCACAGGTACGAAAATCACAACATTTGAAAAAAAAGGTTTTAAATACAATGATTTTGGCGTTATATACTTTTCTTTCGTGCAGAACATACATTTGATTCGAATAACCGTATATACAATTAATGATAATTAATCAACCATCACCGTGGCTCGAATAAAATTGCAAGCACAGATTTCCAGAAGCAACAATGATAGATCCTATTAGTTAATTAAACATTTACCAATACTTAATCAAAAATGTCAAACAAACCCGCAAACAAGTTTATTTGGGACTCACGGAGAACGAACTCGATTTAAATGGGAATTAATCGTGGAATACCGTTTACTAATGAGCGGACGGAGGAGTTCAATCGATACTTTAAGTTATAAACACGTTTATTTTAAACTCTACATTCATATAAATTTCATATTTGACAAAAAAAAATATAATATATTTCATAGATATAACATAATTTTACAGAAATATTAGGTACAAGTTTGTGTTTAACCATAAAAGTTGTTACCCGGATGAAGTTGAAAATTATGCATTTATAAAACGCGCTTACTTCACTTGTTATTTCATTATTTGAGACAGTAAATGTTACCAACTAAAGCATATTAAAACTTCATGGTGGAGGTACACACTGTGTTGACAATTTCGCGTTAAATTTAACATAAAATTTTATGCCTATATGGAGATATAAAATACTACTGAGGAAAGCACTGCAYGAAAAGAGTGTGCGCACAAATAGGTGGAATGCTCGTTAAAAATCGTTTTCAAAGGCGACGAGAAATAGAAAGAACGGGGAAAAAATTCTATTTAACTTTCACGAATTGTTTACCCTCGGCCCCCCTTTCATACCTCTTATGATTTGTTGTTATATTTTGCATTTCAATAGCGACCATTTAACCTGGAATTATTCATTTTATGAAACATTTTGCTCTTTTTATTATATATTTTTTTGTACCCTACTGAATTTCCTGCTTTTTCATTTGTATTTCAGTCAGTTCAAAAAAATTATGAATTAATATTTTAAACAATAATTACTAACTCATTCGAAAAAACAGCACAACCGAATGAATCCAGAGTGTTAGAAAAACAAATCATTAAAATAATAGTTATGAATTGGAGAAAAATATTAAGTAATACAACAAACGTGTGATTTAGTACGCGTGGATTTTTGCACTGAACAAACAATAAAAATTGTCGTTGTGATAATTAACCAAAAAAGAGGTACAAATGATTGATATGAGTTTCAACTCGAAATTTGAAGGTGGGGTCTGAGAAAATGGGCTTATATAACTTTAGATTCAGAGCGGAGCGAGGAATGTATTGATTTTACCATGATGTGTGTGTGTTTTTTTTTTATTTTTTTTTTTGTCTGTCATCACGTTTTGGGACAGTAAAAGTGCTTTGATTTTCGACTTCATTGCAGTACCTCGTTCGATCAGAAAGTGAATCTAGTTGGTACTTTAGAAGGTCAAAAGTAACAAATTTTCAATATTTTTCTACATAATCAGAATAAACAAACTAAAAATTAAGGGAAAACGGGAAATTTTACGCACAATCAGTTTTCAAAAAAATCAATTTTGGTTTTTGATTTAACTTTAAAACAATTGACCATAGTGATACATGAAATTTTCACTGAATGTTTACATAGGCATTTTATATATTTGAAAAKATTTTGAAAATATTTTGATTTGTTYTGAGCTGTTTGATATTTTAATTTTTCGACTTTTGTAGTTTTTTTTTTCTATAAATATCGATAAAAATGTATTTGTTTGGTAGAAAAGCTTGAAAATTTAAGACCAGGCTCTTAACACATTGTTACAATAGCAGTTGTAAAATATTAAAAATACATAGGCATGATTTTTTTTTATAAGCATTTAAAGTTCAAATTTTGACTAAATACGTAAATATTACAGCAATGTTCAAATTATCTTAGATAGAAACTCATAAAAGTGTTTATTTTTAAATCTAAGATTTTAGAATTTAATATAAGGCTCCTAACATATTTTTAYAATAGAAGTTGAAAAATAAAAGAAATATATTGTCACATTTTATTCTTATAAGCATTCTAAGTTTGAATTTCAACAACGTACGTAAAAATCACGAAAATTCGTAAATTATTTTATGCTAGAAATTCATAAAAAATTTTCTTTTTATAATATCTAAGATTTGAAATTTTTTAATAATCTATAATATATTCTAGACTCCACGCAGAATCCTTCATCGTATACAATAATGATATATCATTGGATTCAAATTTAATTCTATCCATTGCAGTAACCTATTGTACAGCAGTGCGACATCCACGACTTACCCGCTTTTTTTTGTATTTTCAAAATTATCATCTATTTTTTAAATTGAATTTGTACGACTTCAGTTGGGAACACTATTTAGTGTATTTCGCGTATCAATCGAGTGTTTCATAATTGTTGGCACGTATTTTTAAAAATAACTAATCAAAAGGTTGAAAAAATTCTGTCTAGAATTCTTCATTTTTTTTTTTTTTTTTTACCAAAACGTAATTGAATTTTTGACAAACGTCATTCTAACCATGAATAGATTACGACACCGAGTGTTGTGCGTGATCAATAGACGATTTAAATGCAGTAACAAATCGTTTGTTGGTTCAACCCAATTGTCCTTACATTTTTGCAATGTAAACACATGGTTCGAAAAAAACAGTGTTTGAACAGCTGGAAACACAACAACTCAATATTATGCATTGTGCTACGCGATTCAATAAATACCGATAAATATTAATTCACGTTATCAATTACAACGGATAAGATTAAAACGTCTATTTGCTTAATGGTTTTTTACTAAACAAACAACGACATCAAAACGTATGATCGCATAAGTTTATTTACGTGTGTAAAAAAATTTAATATACGTTTATTGTTACCTTTAAAATATTTTATAGATATATATAATATTGTGTTTAGTTTATAAAAATCGACTTATCAAAGAAAGAGATAGAAAGACATATAAATTTAATAATAATAAATACGTTATAGATCTATAGGTACTCACGATATTTCGCCAAAAGGTGCGAATGCTTCTCGTAGTGTTTGCGTCTCGATTTCAGGACTCAGGTCACCGACGAATATGTGATGGTGTTCTGTAAACAAAAATAATATCCATACAAGGTAAATATAACGTTGATATGTTATGGCAGCTGCACTGCTGCAGAGAAAATAGTAATAGTAATAATAAATAATATAACACTTTGACAGAAATATGAAATAATAAAAAATGTAATGTTTATTTTTTGGACGTTATCTTAGCAAACCAGACATGCCATTTGTCCGCCGAGGCCTCTTGTCTGCAGTTAACTTTTATACCGTAGGTAGAAACAAATAAAAAAATTTTCACGTTGAATTTAGGGAAAAATAAACWAATTTAAAAATGATCCGGCAACTCGTCGATCGCGAATATTATTTCATAATACGCTATTTCTATACAATGATTTATAGTTTAGTCAAAGTAACATAAATCTGCGGTTGGCTTTTAAAAATTTTTTTGATCTTGCTTTTTTTCCATATAGCATACCGACTGTTGGCTCAATACTAATAACACACACATATAATATGTGCACACACTCACATAGAGGATATATATATATACATACACATACGTATATATATAACACAATAATTAACAATACCTACATATAATATATCTTTTGCGGTCTGTCAGAGACTCGAAACGACCGAATCTAATCGGTTCGGTCGAAAACACATTTGGCTCGCGTGTATTTGTCGACCGTTTATTTACGGATTGCCGGTCAACGGCTAAATTACGCTTTAATTGAAAAAAAACTCTCTCTTTTTCCAAGTACAAAAACTATCACCAACGTCGTTTTAGCCCCACTGCCACACCGCTGTCGTGAATGTTATATAGGTAGGTTTATAAGATATCCTCTATCGTGTTTACTCTCAAGTCTGTTTGTTTTCTGAGCACACACCTACGCACGCATATTTACACAAGCACACGCAAACAAGTTATTTCTGTCTGCAAAAGTTTAACCAAATACATGTTACTTATAAAATGACAAAAAGGTCAATACTATTTATATTTGTTTTCTTGTAATAATAATTATTGTTATTCCCGTCGACCCATAGCCGGTCTCTTCTTATGACACCGATCACATCATATTATGTAGTTTTTTTTTGAAAACGTATACCACAGATGGTAATACAACTCAAAACCGTTAGCATATTAATTAGCTGCAGGTATCCAAGTATTAAATTTAAGATTTCCGATATAGATAAAATTAAATCGTTTGCTTTGATTGGTGAGCTCAAAGCCGAWAAACGCCACACATGAAAATACTAATAATGCTTCGATAACGTATATGGTAGAAAAGACTTTGTGGAATTTGGATGTTCAAAGAAACTGTTTTTTTCCGCATACGAAGAGAACGAAACAAAATTTAGTTACCAAAGTATTAAACGCTCGTGTACGGTCATATTAAAATTCTGTAAGAACTTATTCGCATTCCCAGCAACAACTTTTAAACCTCTTTTGTTTTGTGAAACAATGGTTTTTTTTTTTTTTATCAAAGTTAAAAACAGACATTTTTTGTTAGACTGTAAAATTAAAATAGAAAAAAAAGTAAAACAATGTCAGTAAATGCAACGGCGACATGCGATCTTGCGGTCTCGCACGCACGCGCGTGCCTGAATTGCCTATTTCGACCGCCGTKTTAAATAAATAAATAATTTTTCTTYTAAAAATAAGAGTGATTCGCATCTACCGAACGTTACCGAATCCTGACGGGATGAGTCGGTATTTTTAGAATGGTTGAAATTCAAAGACGAACAATAATTTKAGCTGTTTTACCACGAATAATGTGATATTGAGCACACGCGTTCGCTGGAAAATCGAAGGGCGTATAGCGCACGAACAGCGGCATCGGCAGTATCATAATAATAATAATAATAATAATAATAATAATAATAATAATATAATATATGCGTATATTTGCGTGTAACGTGTAACAAACGCGCTTTGGCAGCTAGCGACCTTGTTTGTGGCAATAAATGGAAAGGATAATATTGAACTACACGCGCGTACGACCAAAGCAATGTCATATCGGCGGCGGGGAGARAGGAACACATGCGTCATCGCGACGGCACAGAAAGGGATGGGTTAGTACGAAGCGCATGTACGGCGTGGTGACAAGAGGGCGAGGGTACGATTCGTTGTGTGAACGCGAATGCGACGTTGGTGGCAATAGGAGTAAGTGGATTTACGTGATCGGCAAGTGTAACCCGTGAATTTATATTTTATATTCTTTATATAATGTATAATATATATATGTACGGGAAGGTGGGCATGTATATAATATATAATATATAGGTACGTTACTAAACAAAAGGGACGCAGTGGAAGCGACGGCAGAGGTCGTAAACCAACGAAGAATTTATTATCTGGTTGTTACACACGATTGGCAAGAGACGTTAACGGGCGCGCGTGCACTATGGGTAATATTTATGTATATACATACATATATAATGCGTATTTATATTAAAATAACACACACACACACATATATATATAAATACACCAATATACAACTGAGGAAATACGCACGCGGCGTTCCGTTCGAGAAAAACCACTACCGGTGCGTGTACGAGTGGGGTAAGGGAAGAAGTTGGAAAACCAAGAGCAGTATTTGTTATAAATTTATAATATTATAAACGGAGATGTTATATATTGTAATAATATTATTTTACCATCTACCACCCGACTTTTTGCGCATCGAAACAAACGAAAATACTGCACGCGGAGGAGTCGGTGGTGGCCGTTGGAATCGGGCCAAGAACCGGTGCGATTAGAATCGGTTGCTAAGAAAACGACGCGGACCAAGCTCTTGGCACTGCAGCTTCGTATAATGGCTGATAAAATCATATTCTTATTCTTATTATATATATATATGTAGGTCAACGCCAGATAGTCACGGCGAAAAGATTTTGACGGTGATTGTGATATAGTATACGTATTATACGTATCATATTAATATGATAAGCTCACGTGTTTGACAATAAAATATAGAAAATCAGCCAAGAAAGCCACCAACTCGAGTTTTTACACCAATCGTATGCACTGTGTAAGATCCTAGTAGCTTTGATGAATATTGGAAAAAAACTCATCATAATWTTTTGATACGGATCTATCATATATAGTATGCTATATGCGCATATTGCGCATACCATTATTTTGGGGACAYCCACGATGGCGTCGAAATTTTTGATGTATAAGATATGCTTGTATTACCGGTTGTCACTATTGCACGGACGAGCGCAACAAGTTTGGAAAACATTACTCTGTTCGCGTTTTGGTCTGGATCGATCGAGTACCGAGGTGGTTATCGTCTATTATGATACTCTAGCCATGTAATAATTGTATGTATAAATACTATATAAAGTAACATTACAARCCTTAAGTGTCTATTATGGTTTGCATGACTTGCAGAGAGCTCTGTATGTGCACAGGAGTGGTGAAACGACCGACAATATTGCCACGGAGTGTTTTCTTTCGATTAGAGAGACGGTCTTAATGGCCAAAGCGGGTGCACCGTTTATTCCACGCTAAATGCCGATTGTATACGTGGGTTTAAATTATCGTTACACGAGTGCCGTTAACTCGATCGCAGTCGGCTCTGTTATKGGTCCCCGCGTGCGCTAAGAGCTAAGCTATATTGAAGTTTCCAATTTTCGCAACGCGAGTCAATTTTCACGCGCAAAACATTGTCGGGGTAGAATACCAGTTATTGGCTCGATCGATAAGCCAGTGCAGTATAACCTCGACAGTACGGCTTCCCACATCCGGTGACTTGGGGCCGAGATAGACCACTTGAACGTATCGTAGGTGTAGGTTRTAATCATAATTGTTATTGGCTGTGGAGATACAAAGAGAAAGAAATGGAYAGAGAGATAAAAAGAGATAGATAGTAAGTGAGTGAGAGAGAGAGAGAGAGACAACAAATTTATTTTTAAGGATCCGATTGAAACGAGCATGTCCCCTGAACGGCGTCATATAAGCATTTCGATATGGTAAAAAATATTATAACTTATACATTTGTATAAAGAAATTTTACGTTCGACAGATATTGCACGTTTTTTTTTTTTTTAGTGCCCGGCGTGGACATGCATTTTATATGAATTCACGTAGAATGCAACGCGAGCTTTCCGTTTGCCCCGAGACAAAAATAAATCACACGGACGGTCGAAGGTTTTTTTTTCAAACAAGCAGACTAAAAAATAAAAATAATATGACGCGTATATATGGCATTTGAAAATACGTGTACAATAATGTATACGTATAATGTATTGTACAATACGCGAGAAAACAAAACGCAAAAAGAGGTCGTAAATTATCGGTGTTATTATATTATAATAWATTATACGGCCGCCGACAACAGGAGCATTATATTGTAGCTCTATATGCTATGTATGTTCGGACGTAAATACAACACACAAAACCGGCCTTTGTCGAACGAGGCCGCGGCTGCATATAAAGCCGACCACCTACCCACCGTCGAATGCACTTCCGGTCGTAGCATTATTATTATTATTATTATATTGTCTTATCAGCGCGCACGTTTAAATCAATGCGTTATTATCACGCAGAACATTGGTGCACTTCCTGGCCGTACCACACGCCACCACCGCCCGTCATGGTTGTAATATACAAAGCAACGCACATTACATCATGTATATATTTGTSTATACATGTAAAGTATGATGATATCATGTGCAATGCACGTCCTTCTCCTCTACGACTGCACCGTMGTGTACACGTGCATTTAAGCCGACCACATACACAATGTATTATTGCAGGTACAACTATGGGTATTAACCGWTGGTTGCCGTAGTGGTGGGTGGGTGGGAAGAGTGGTGGAGAAGGCAGCGATTATAATATCGTATACATATAACAGCATTATATTATATGCATATACCGACTGCAAAACGACATCCCGTACACAACGTGAAATTGTCGACCCTATTCTTCAAGGCATATTTTATGCTATATGAAACGCTGTGTGTATGCAGGGGGTGAATTTTACTGCATAATCAAAGGGTTACTCGCACGATCTCGACGGCCGYGGCAA